GAAAGAAAGAAAGAAAGAAAGAAAGAAAGAAAGAAAGAAAGAAAGAAAGAGAAAAGAAAATGAACAGGATTTTGATGCTGCAACCTAGGCTTGAGCTTGTAATAAAAGATCCTCATGTATTTGCAGAGGAGTCAAATCCTGGTGGTCTTTGGGGTCTCATGAACTGGGCATAACAGGGAGCAAACTTAAGTGACAAAAAGTGTTCACCTCAATGACATGAGACCTCAGCTCTGGTGCCAGTGAGCACGCCCAGTTTCCTACTTCACATGCTTCACAAGATCTCAGGCTTTCCTTACTCTCAGTGTTACAAACAGCCCAGGCCAGGGGCAAAGTCAGTGCAGAGCCCTGCACAGCAAACACGAGGCCCTAGTACTGATCCCCACGTGCAAACCAAGTAATGACATTAAAACCCCTCACAACACAGCTCCTAACAGTGGATTGTGTGCTGAGAAGGGGTGAGCTTGTCCCCACCTGTGAAGCCTTGGGGAAGTCTGAGCCTGTGTGGTACAGAGAGCTAGGGCAGCCACCAAGGAATCCACACAGCTGATTCCTCAGTGCCCAGTCACCCATCAGCTCTGTCACCACTGCCCTTCAACCTCAGGCTGTGGGTCCTGGACTCAAGAACCCTCACCCAGCAACTACATCCCTAAGATCCCCATCTACACTGTGCAGAAGGCTCACAAGGAGGCTGCCCAGCTTTGGTTTGGGGACAAAATGGCATTGAAAGAGTATTCCTCTCAGTAAAAGAGTGAGCTCAAATGGCGCTGTAACTTAATTGAGGTATTTATCCTATTAGTCATCTGGTAACTTTTTAAAGATAGGAAATTATAATCCAGAAGAAAACATCTTATTATGTTCCCTACTAACTGAAAAACCAAAATCCCGGGGCTTGGAGAGATGGCTCAGAAGTTAAGAACATTTGCTGCTCTTGCAGAGGAAGGAGATTCAGTTCCCAGCACACACATGGTCCCTCACTGCTGCCTGGAACTCCAATTGCAGAAGATATGATGCCTTCTTCTGCCCTCTGTGGGCCTGCACGTGATGCAGCTACACATGCAGGCAAAGCACTCAGATATAAAAAATAAGTGCAAAAATTTTAAATCTAGTCTCAATTCACAGCATCTAACACAGACATGCACACACAGACACACACACACACACACACACACACATACCTCATGACTTTGCCTCACTATTCAACAATGATTAACCCAATTTGATAAATGTCACTATTTATTTGTTTTCAAGTCATATCAAATCTTTTACCCCAACTAACTGAGACATAGAACTGCCTGTTTTATGACATAAATGCCCAAATACAAAGGCCAAAGTGTTTGGAGCAACTGACAGTATAACTCAAATCATAACAATACTCATAATCAGAGAAGGAAGGCAGCAACTTTTCAATATGAAAATGGTCCTACTCATGCTTAGAAGTAAGCAGTATTTCATTACAGCCGACAACATACCATCTTTCCGTATTTAATAGAAGTTAAATGTAGTGAGGATTTTGTTGTGTTAAAAAACCCAGTTATGAGCTGGGCCTGGAGGTACACACCTTTAATCGCAGTACTCATGGAGACATAGACAGATAGATCAAAAACAAAACAAAACAAACAACCCAAACAAACAAAAAGCAAGAAAAAGTACCCCCCCCAAACAGTTATGTTATATAAATGTTTTTGTTCTAATCCCAGGTGTGGGGGTAGAAGTCATCTTCACAGCAGGTGACTATGATTTGCCTTGTGCTCCAGCAGGAGCATGGTTCTGCCAGCTGCAGATATTTTCTGCCAGTTTGTGGAACTCTGGGAACTTTTCAGAGGCTATATAATTCCCAGAGCCCTAAGAGAGCAGCTGCTGCTCCTGCTGCTGTCCCTGTTGCTGCTGGTAGCAGTTTGCTGCTATTTGTTGCAGTTTATCAAATATTTGTGCACAAAGAGACTAAAAGAAGAAATGGAATATCCTGAATTCGAAGGTCAGTCTTGCACCAAGGAACTTGACAGCCCTGACCATCAGGAAGTAGTCTAAAGAGGACTCTGGCTCCTCACCTCTCTAACCCTCTTTCTTACCTACCTAGTGTTGAAAGGTAGGAAGGGATTGGGGTGGAGAATGGTGGTAAATATAAGAATACAATGAAGTAGCCAAAAAGATGCCTACAAATAACCACCTAATAATAATATCAGGACCCCCAAGCAGCTACATTGACTCTAAAGGTTTGACAGAAATGGGGATGGAGAGTACTTGCCCTTTAATGGCTAAGATACTGGGTTCAGTCAATAAAGCATCATCATCATCATCATCATCATCATCATCATCCTCATCATCATGAACATAAAGTAAACAAGTGAAGGCTCAATAAGCCAGAAGAACTGCATTCCTGTATGATACATTTTTAGAACAACAGAATATCCTAAGGCATGTCGATTACTGGTGCAGATCCAGTTTAAGGAGAAGTGGGGACAGTCTCCTCCCTGGTTCCCAGCAGCTGATAGCAAAGAGCCTGGTTAACTCCACCTGCATTCTTTGTGTAGCTACAGCTTTCAACAGCAGCCTCACAGCACTGCATCCTCAGCAGGCTCAACCCCTCAGGCAGCAGATGCACAGGCTCCCACAGAGCTGCTCAATGGCACTGTCTCCTGCCCCTGATTTCAGCTACAGATCAGCCCCCTTCCCTCCCTTCCCTCTTCTATCACCCCAACCCTTCTCTACTTAAACATTCTCCAAAGACCGTTTTTCATCTGACATGCTTCAAATTTTATGTATTTACTCAGTTACCAGGTATCCACATAAACGAACATTTACATCAGGAAAATAGCCTTTTTACTCACTTTGTGCAGCCCTGTACTTTGAACTTGGAGCGAGAATTGGTGAATAAAAGTAGTGAAGTTTGAGGAACTTCCAGGTGTGCCTAGTTACTTTTTGCAATCTCTGGATAAAAAGTCCTGCTTGGATTAGTCATAACAGTTCCTCCAAATAAAAATTATTAACAACCCATTCTGTAAATAAGAGGTTAATCATGTCCTCCTTGCTTTCCTGAATATTTCTGTGTGCCAAGCAGAGTGGGGATGACGAATGCATGGAAGGTAGCAGAAGGTAAATGGGACTCTGAAGTGAAAGAATCAGAGTAACCCTATAACCTCTATTTCTTTTAATTGTCATGAAACCTATATTTTTTAATTATAGTCCCATGTCAAACTAAAGTCTATCAGTTCTTTTCCAGAAAACAGGAGAAAGTAACAGCCTCTCCTGACCTTAGCCATCTGCATGGAAGGAGATAAGAAAATAAATGAGCAAAGACTTCCACCTTGCAGAAGAAAATAACATTGTCTAGCAGGAGATCCAGATGGTCCTAATTCCCCTCCCAAATAGTCCCTGACCTTTTGACTAAAGGCATGAAGCCCCTCTTCTCAGAGACAGCACAGGATGAGCAAATCCCTTTTCCCACCTTTATCAATGGCCTAGTCAGACCATTGGATGTACTAATCACGTTCCCACCTTTAACAGTAGCTGAATCTGCATGTATCAGGAAAGATCAGATATCCCCCAGATGTCTGAGACAAAACTGGCCAGACCTGGTGCCCAAAATAGACTCTATATCTGCTCCCATGCTGTCAGAGCTGTAACCCCCTCTCCCTGCGATTTTCCTTTAAAAACCAAAGGCATTCCTGACTTGGTGCTGACTCTGGCTTCATTTCAGAGCTAGCCCCATCAGGCAATGGCTTGAATAAACCTCTTGCATTTGCATCGATTCTAATTTTGCTTTAGTTGCCCCTGCAGTAATTAGGCTTCTGCTGAGTCCATCAGGCTCCTGCCGGGCCTAACAGAAGTAGACAGACTCAGAAACAAACTGCTTCCACTTGAGTTTTCACAATACAATTAAAATAATCCATCAGATTACCTTAGTCATAGTGACCCTTAGAAAACCCTTGCCATTTTTGAGAGAACGATGTGTAATCCACACGAGCTGATGCCAAAAGGGGGTGACACAGGAGACCTCCAAGGCTGAGCTCATCTCCCCCTGCTGCTCCCACAGGACTCTATCCAGTTCCATACTTGTTTCACTGTAGAAGGAGGACTCGATATACATTCTGGCTAATTTTTGTATGACTTGATGATCTGTCTCTAAAAACTCTTCATGTTCATCAAATTTGGCTAAAAAAATGGATAAAGATAAAAAACAGTTAGCAGACAACAATTTAACTTTTCATGAATAACCCATAAAATATCTTTTGATTTTCTTTGAGACAAAGTCTATTGTAACCCAGATTGGCCACAAAGTTCTATGTAGCAAAGGCTTGCCAAGAGCCATCGTCTTGAGGAAGTTCAGTAAGCATGGGGCTTTCTGGAAGGTAGTCCAGTGTTCGGCAAGGTCTGTACTGTGATGTACCCCAATTGTTTCCAGCTGCTGACTCCCCTTCTTTCTTTCTGTGCTGCTATATCTCACAAAACTCTGGCATGGTGTGAACTCTCACTTTCTGGGTATTTGCCCATTCTAATTGAACAAACCTACTATGACATCTTTACTGCTGCTCAGATGAACTATTTCCTGATTATGGAATTCCTGATTTGAACTGAAACAACTTCAGTATTTAAGAAGTTAAATAGTCAATAGAAAGTTTGTAGCTGCAGTAATACTTTTGTGGACCTCTAGATGCCTCAGTAGGACACAGGCTGTGGCTTCAGATAAGAATTCATTCTAGAGATGGCAGGAATCCTGGTCTGCACTATAAATACAGGCAAGTTGATGTGAACTTCTCACGAACCCAGAATGTAATAGGACTACCAAGAAATGTCTAAATTAAGTACAAACCTTAGTGTCAAAAGTTACAAACTGTTTCGTTGTAATTCCTTATACCTTGTCAGTTTATGGCATAAAACACTCTCATTCTAAATTTACTTTGTATCTTGAGATGTAAAACTAGATGAAGAACTGTTTACCTTAGTACCAAAACAAGCAACCACTAAAAGCCCTCCTGCCACATCAGTTTTGTCTGTCTCTGTAATAAACCCTTTTGACTATGAGGTAATTCTCTCTCTAGGTACACAGCTTTTGCTTAGGCTATAGGAGGTGTAACCAGGACAATAAAGTTTGTTGCCTCATCCATTGAATGTGTGTGTGGTCTATTTGCTCTTACTGTTTATTCCCCTGTAGACTCACAGATAAGTTGACAGGCTCAGGGCTCCACCATCAGCAGGCATAATTTAGCCAAGAGGCCTATCTGCAGATAAAAGAGGGCCTTTAACAATTCCCTGCAGTTGCTGGCTAGAAGCTGCTTACTGCTTACTCTCCTCTCTTACTAGCTTTTTGCAGCCCTGGCTGCAGGGAAAAAGTGGTCAGCTTAGGCTTTTCTGTCAGTAGCAGACCTGCCTGTCCTGAGCAGCAGAGAGGAAACTTTATCTACCTCCCTCTTCTGTCCTTACTGGCTGCCTCCTGCAGTCTCTAAATTTAAGAGGCTTTGGAATCTAGATATAGAGTATGAGATAGAGATGTCAGTCACAGACTGACCCCAAAAAGGAAAAAAGGCAATATTCACCTGTGTGACTGACCCCAAATGGCCAATGCTGCTTTCACCTGCCTCAGTGCTCCCCTCCCCCACCTCTGACTCATCAAGCCTTGGATTTTGACAAAGAGTGGCCTTGAACTTCCCCTGTCCTCCTGTTTCTCTGTGGCAAGTGCTTTGATTGCAGGCAGACACCTTCACACCCAGGTATGCAGTGCCAGTAACCAAACTCAAGGATTTGAGCTCACCAGGCAAACATTCTCTGGCTGAGCTAAGTCCTCAGCCCAACAAGTTTTGAGAGTAAAAATGTTGCTACTGTGTAATTCCTTCCCAGCTAAGAAAAGCATCCTTAACTGACCTGGCTACTGTCTTTATCCCAGGGATACAGCAACCTGAAAGGCCTTTTCCCTTCTGGATCCTGATTCTTAACATTGGCTTCGTCCCCATGTGGATCTATACTTAATCTAAAGGTCTGCTGCCTGCTTTCTGCCACATGTAAATGTATATGCGAAGGTACAAAGTGCCAAGTTACTTTCTTTTCTTAAAGCTGTAGAGTGTTAGTGTGTCAGAGTTTGGCCTTTTGTCCCACATCTTTACTTGCAAATGTTGATGACAATGAGTCTCTGGTCTGTGTTGAGGCCTCTGGGTCCTGCTATACTATCAACACTGGACCCTCACAGGCAGCTCTGGCATGTCCAGTTGTCCTGAGTCATGGAGATCATGCAGTTCTGGATCTGCAGGGCTGGCTCCTTCCCACGCTCCAGCAGTTCACATATGGGTACATGTTGGGGTGGGCCAACTCAAACCCTGGATCTGGGCCTAGGTGGTAGCTGAGCTGGTCAGTCTGCCAGCTCCTCCATACCCCCACCACCAGGGGGAGCTCTCCAGCACCACCCTGGCTAGCACCCCAATGCTACAGCCAGCAAGAGCCAGGGTCAGCTCTTCTGCTCTCCTGGCCTTGGCAGGCTCACCTGCTCCCCCAGCACCAGAGTCAGCTCTCAGGGCCAGGCCCTCCCCCACCAATCCCTAACCAGGAAAATGCCCTACAAGCTTCTCTGTAACCCCATCTTATAGATCCATTTTCTTTTCTTTTTTCTTTTTTTTTTTTTTATTATTATAAGATCAATTTTCTTAACTGAGTTTCCCTCCTCTCAGATGACTTTAGCTTGTGTCAAGTTGACATAAAACTAGCCACCACACTCTGCAATGCCTGTCCTTGTGAGGTGAGGTAGGAAGAGCACACATTCAAGGTCAGGCTGGCTACATGAGCAAATCCTACCTAAAACAATAGAAAGAACAATATGATAGACAATGAGTACATTCACTTTCTAACAGGAATTTCCATGTTGACAATATCATATGAATGTTCTCTCATAAATTAAATAAAAACCATCCAGTACTAACACCAAGCAAAGTCTATTAGCTAATTTTAGGACACTAAATGAACATAAAATGACTATATTCTAATGAACCACATTGTTGCATTTTAATGAAAGGAGTTAAGCAAAAATCTGTGACTCTAGAAGACCCACATACCTTCATGGTCGTCCTCCTTTGTGTGGATTATGGCACCTCCAATAATGATGTCCAGGAAGAAGTCTACAGGGATGTGGTGGGATTCATATGTGTAACCTACAAAGGAGGCAGCCCAAGAGCACACACCTGAGAACCCTCTTTCAGAGAATGGGGGAGGGGAAGGAAGACAGAATGTAACTTCTTCCTCTTCCTGCTCTGCCCATCAATAATTGATCCTTTGATATTGTATACATTCACAGTGGTTCAGCAATCTCAGTTTCCTGCCAATATATGTATATATACATAATTACATATATGTATGTATATACACATAACTACATGTATATATACATATGTGAATACATACACATGATATGTGTATGATATATATACCTATGTGATCTCTTCCTGTGAAACAATCATTTGAACTTGACCTAAATTTTTATAGGACTCTATAAACTCACAAATGTTAGGACATTTTTAAATGACAAAGATTAACAAAAAACAAATAAAGAGTACTGGACAACATATATTTAAACCTATATTTGGAGTCAATGAAAATCCTCCATAACTGTATTCATATTGCTAAAAGATGAAGCTGACTGTATGAACATTGAAAAATGTTTCATCATCCCATCTGACTCTAAAGAAAACAGGGAGATGAAAATATGCAGCCAGACTTAAGTCTCTCTAGCCCCAAGCACAGCCAGAACCTGATATGTAAAGGTATCACTAATTAAGTGATCTCCCACTTCTCAGCTTCAGATCACACTCTAGGGGAAAACTGAAAACCACCATCTACATGAGCAAAAATGACATGATGCTGGACCTTTCCAAAGCTGCTCCAATGATGGATAACTGCCCCTGAGGCCAGCGTGTCAGCTAAGAGGGTCACCACAACTGGAAAGCAGAACACTGGGTTCAGAAAAAATGCTCAAATACAGGCATGGACACAGGACAGGAGAAACACAGGAGAACTTACAACAAGCCAGTACTGTAAAACTAACCAAAGTCCTGTCACCAA